TTAAAAGCTAAAGCTTGATGATTTCCAACTTATCACCAACTACTATAAGCTTAACCTGCATCACTATTATTTATAGGAATGGGTTGGGGTTGACCCCCACAGTGATCCACATATGTTATATGCAAGTAGGTTGTCCCATTGAACCTAGATCTTGGGATCTCTAGTCAACTAGGTTGGGTTTTCCTTCGCAATAACTTATTCGTTCATGGGTTTTAATCCCATTCCTTTTGACGATTTTGCAACTAACTCCCTGTTTAACCCTTTGGTTAGCGGATCCGCAATGATATCCTTGGACCTTATGTAGTCAATTGAGATAACTCTTGTTGAGAGTAGTTGTCAAATGGTGTTGTGTCTTCGACGAATGTGTCGAGACTTACCATTATACATAGCACTTTGCGCTCGTCCAATTGCCGATTGACTATCGCAATGGATTGAGATTGCAGAAACTGGTTTAGGCCAACCTGGTATATCTTCCAAAAATTGTCGTAGCCTTTCAGCTTCTTCTCCACTTTTATCAAGTGCTATAAATTCGGATTCCATGGTGGATCTAGCTATAACTGTTTGTTTTGAAGATTTCCATGATATAGCTCCACCTCCAAGTGTGAACAAAAACCCGCTGGTTGACTTGGAGTCTTTAATGTCAGATATCCAATTTGCATCACTATACCCTTCTATGACCTCGGGATATCTTGTATAGTGCAACCCGTAATTGCGAGTGTACCTTAAGTATTGTAATACTCTTTTAATACTCTTCCAGTGTTCAGCACTTGGATTACTGGTATATCTACTTAGTCTACTTATTGCAAAAGCTAAGTCGGGTCTGGTACAACTCATAAGGTACATCAAACTACCAATGATTCTTGCATATTCGACTTGTGCAAGCCCTTCACCTCTATTTTTACTTAGATGATGACTTGTATCAATTGGCGTCCTAGCTACAGTAGTATCACCAGAGTTGAACTTCTCAAGAATTTTATCCACATAATGGGTTTGATTCAAAGTAAGTCCATTTTCAGTCCTTGTGATTTTCACACCAAGGATGACGTCTGCCAGACCCATATCTTTCATGTCGAATCTTGCCTTTAGCATGTTCTTTGTTGATTTAACCATTTTATCGTTGCTCCCAACAATAAGCATATCATCAACATAAAGGCACAAGATAACATAACCCTCACTTGTGTTTTTAACATAAACACACTTGTCACATTCATTAATCTTGTATCCATTTTCCAACATCACATGGTCAAACTTTTGATGCCATTGTTTTGGGGCTTGTTTCAACCCATATAATGACTTCACTAGTTTGCAAACCTTTGATTCTTTTCCTGGGGCAACATACCCTTCTGGTTGTTCCATGTAGATTTCTTCTTCTAAATCCCCATTTAAAAAAGCTGTTTTAACATCAATTTGATGTACTTCAAGATTTCTTATAGAAGCGATTGCAAGTACTAATCTAATGGATGTAATACGTGTGACAGGAGAGTACATATCAAAATAATCAAGGCCACTTTTCTGTCTATAGCCTTTAATTACTAGTCTTGCCTTGTACTTGTCAATGGTTCCATCCGCTTTCATTTTCTTCTTGAAAATCCATTTATAGCCTAGTGGTTTGCAACCTTGAGGTAAATCCACTAGCTCCCATGTATGGTTTTGCGAGATTGAATCCATTTCGATTTTAATTGCTTCTTTCCATTGAGGTCCTTCTGAGGAGGTGACTGCCTCTTTGAAAGTTTGAGGCTCGCTTTCAACCATGTAAGTGTAGAAATCATCTCCAAACGACTTCTCCACTCATGCCCTTTTACTTCTACGGGGCTCTGTTTCTTCCTCTATTTCTTCTTCATAAGAGGATTCATTGTGCTCAATTAACTTTGAAGCATTTGTCTCAACCTTATGAAGACATGGAAACACATTCTCAAAGAACGATGCATTTCTTGACTCCATTATTGTGCCTTTGTGAATTTCTGGAATTTTTGAGTCATGTACAAGAAATCGATACGCACTACTGTTTTGTGCATATCCAACAAATATGCAATCAACAGTCTTGGGTCCTATCTTCACCACCTTGGGTGCAGGTACCACGACCTTTGCAAGGCACCCCCACACTCAAAGGTATTTGTAGGATGGTGTTATACCTGACCATAACTCGTATGGTGTTTTATCCGATTTCTTTCGTGGGACCTTATTTAAAAGGTAGTTAGCTGAAAGTATAGCTTCCCCCACATTGAGGGTAGCAGCCCATAACTTAACAACATGGCATTCATCATTTCCTTTAAGGTCCGATTTTTCCTTTCTGCCATACCATTTTGTTGTGGTGAATAAGGTGCAGTAAACTCATGTATGATACCATGAGTTGCACAGAATTCCTCAAACGGTGATACATATTCACCTCCACGGTCACTTCTTAGTACTTTAATTTTCTTATTAAGTTGATTCTCAACTTCACTTTTATACACTTTAAACTTCTCTATAGCCTCATCTTTACTTTTAAGTAAATAGACATAGCATAATTTAGTGCAATCATCAATAAAAGTAATAAGGTACTTATTTCCACCTTTAGATGGAATTGATTTCATGTCACACACATCGGTGTGAATTAATCCAAGTGGTTCGATTGTCCTTTGAATGGACTTGAAAGATTATCGTGTTAATTTCGATTCAACACAAGTGTTGCATTTGTATTTTGAGTCAATGTGAAAGTGTGGTATGTGATTGAGTTTAATTCAACGATGAAGAGTATCAAAATTAACATGTCCTAATCTAACATGCCATATATTTGAAGACTCAAGCAAGTAAGTAGAAGAGTTATTCATTTCATTATCATTGTCACTTGGCTTAAGAGCCATTACACAAAGTTTGAACATACCCCTATCAGCATACCCCTTACCCACATACACACCATTTTTGGTTAACACAAATTTATCTGACTCAAACACCAAGCGAAAACCATGCTTGTTCAACAACCAACCCGACACAAGATTCTTACGAATTTCGGGTACATACAACACATCATTCAACGTCAGCTCTCTTCCCGACGTCATCTTCAACACAATCTTTCCAACACCTTGGATATCAGAAGTGGCCGAGTTTCCCATGAACAGCTTGTCACAATTATCCACAACCTTGAAGTTTCTGAACCATTCTCTATTTGAGCAAACATGACGGGTAGCTCCCGTATCAATCCACCACTCCCTTGGATTGGACTCCACAAGATTAACTTCAAAAATAACCGCTGCAAGATCGATGTCAGACACATCTTTGGTTATCTTCTCCACAACATTTGCCTCCTTAGCCTTCTTTGGAAGCTTGCAATTTGCAGCCCGATGACCCCGTTGGTCACAGTTATGGCAGTTTCCTTGAAACTTTTTCTTAAAAGTCCCACCTTTGGCTCCCAAGTTTGAACCCTTGCCTTTCTTTTGGAATTTGCCCTTTCCAGATTTATTCTTCCCAGAAGTTCCATTAGGCTTTGGTGGTTGGGAACCTTCACCAGTAGTCATACTACAAAAGGAAGCAAATATAAAACTGTTAAAGATTAAAATTCAGTAACCACTAAACTGTTAAATATTGTCTATTTCCAGAAAGCAGGTTCTGAAAAACTGTGAAACAAAAGAAAGAATCTGAAAATTGTTTTAGAAAACAATTTCTGAAAACAGTAACAGATTATAGATGCAATAAACTTAAAGATAAAACAGAAGAAGCAGAAAATGTCTTAGAAAACGATTTCTGAAAACAGATTCTGCAATTGTTATGTAGAGAAAAAAAATTCGTTTTTATAAACACTTAAAGACGAATCCGAAACAAATATTTTTTTTTCCGAAGTTCGTTTCGCACAAACGATTTGTTTTAAGACTGTTAGGAAAATATAACTCAAAACTGTGCGAAAGAACAAAATTCAAATTTTTTTTTGACTGAGGCCTGTGTTTAACACAGTTTTCTTAAAACAAATTCGCCCTATATGGGTGTTTGTTTCCCAAGATACAACAGTAGAAAGCAATTCTTCTAGATTGCCCGAACCCTCACTTGGCCCGGATGATACCTTGGTTGCAGCAGGAGAGAAAAGATGAAGCAGAAGCGTAAGAGAGGAAAAGAATGATTTCGTTTCATCCGGTGTATCGAATCAGTCACATATGCATTGTATATATACTATCCAATGTAACCGATGCAATTAAAACGAAATCGTAACTGTCACAATTAAATAAGAAAATTAATCAAGAAATCAAAACCGAAATCTATGATTAATTGTTCTTAATTCGGTTTTGTAACTGTTAACCAAAAGGAAAAAAGGTCCTTGAACTTTTCTGGTCGATCGGTGGTGCATTCGTGCCTGCAAGACGCGCGCTCGCACACAAGTTCAGTAGCCCGAAGCCAATTTGGCTCGCATTTGCACCCCCCTGCGTGCGCGCGCAAAAGAGAGCCTTGGTTTTAATAAGTCTTACAAAGGTAGCTAGTCTTTGTAGTTATAAACCAATTTCCTTTTCATTCTCCCACCAATGTGGGATGGGTTTTAAACCCACTTAACTCTTTTATTTTCTTTTCCAATTGCTCTACTTTGACAAGTAATTTCTCATTCATTTTTAATCCGTTTTGGACGTGTGATATATCGAAACGTAGATATCACGGAGGAGAACACGAATATATAATCAATAACTCGTTTTGATTATATTTAGAGTCCAAAATTTGTGCTAAAAAATGGAGAAAATCCATTTTTAGAAATTAAATAAATTAATTTTTCCAACAATAAAAACATAGAAAATAATAATAATAATAATAATAATAATAATAATAATAACAATAATAATAATATAAAAGTCTAGGGTGGAATTTGTAAATTTTATAAACCAGTTTTGAGAAAAAAATTAGGAAATAAATTTGTTCTGCTTTTGATACAAACTCAAGGGACCAAAGTTGACAATTGTTGAAAAATGTGTCTTCTTCCTTCCGGATTAAACGAGGTCTCTATGGCTTCCTCCATTAGAACACTTGCAACATAAATTGTAAAGTTCTTTTTTTTTTTTTTGTTTTTTTCGTATTTCTACCAACGACTAAAATTGAATTGACCAATCAAAGCCTCCGTCTTCATCCGTCCGTCACACGCAAACCACCCACCCTTGGGGCGGTGTTCACGCGTGGGGAGGCACGCCACCTCAGCCCAAGACGCGTGAAACTCCCCCATACCGGTTAGCCTAACAATGGTGGGTACAGCTAGTTTTGTTAAAAAATTTGGGGAATTCAATTATGAAAGTTTCAGAAAGCAAATCTTCAAGTTGGTGGTACAACCATCACATGCGTGCTGCATCTCGTGCCATTTTAGAGCGAATCCCACTTGTCGATCTTGTTCTTGAAGTTAGAGACGCTAGGGTAAGTTCCATGATTCCATCGCTTTTTTAAAGGATACCAACTGTTCGATGAAATGTCTCAGAGAACTAACTACCTTGGGTCCTTGTCCTTTTTTCTTTTTTAATCACCGACCTTTCATTATTTGGTTGAGCGATTACTGTATGAACTTGTTTTTCTGTAATTTACATAGCCCTATACATTAACCGACACTCGCTTCATGTATTCCTTTCAGATTCCAATGTCCTCAGAGTATGCTCAATTGAGAAAGTTTCCATCTTCCTCAAAGAACATTATCGTACTAAACAAAATGGATCTTGCAAGTCGCTCAAAAACTAAGGTGATAGATTCTTTTGAGATTATTACTTTTTTTTTTTTTTGGTTTAACTTGCTTCTACATGATTCAGTTATGAATGTGAGTATGTTACACAGCTTATGATAACATACATTCTACATTTGCTTCCACAAATGAAAGTTTACAATCTTTAATGTTAGGGCTAAATTCAAGAATTAGCAACATTGTATATACAATTCTTTTTTCTTATTAATACATTTTACTTTGAAAAATATACCCATTATAGCTTTTTATTTGGATAACATTCTTATAAATGGATGGATTTTTCAAAGCACAATGTTGTAATAAAAGAAATGAAAGTAGGATTCTATAATAAACTAATCAATGTAAATTCATTACAATTTTTTTAGTCATAATACCTAAGTGATTGACTTCATGCTAAAATTTTATCATCTTCTAATAAAACCAACAATATCATACTTAACTTTAAGATGAATCAAACCACTTACTAAAATTCAATTTACAACCTTTTGTAACAACTTAATAAAAATAATGGAATCACTTTCTTCCTATAAGAGTAGCTTATATTTACACTTTATATATAGTTATTTGTTCTTCAACTATTTTATGTTCCTAATTATACTTCTTTTATTTTCCTAACCTTATAGGAATGGATGGAATACTTTAAGGAGCTAAATTACATACCTTATGCTATAAATTCTCATAACAAGGACAATATCAAAGAGGTAGCTTCAAACACATTCTTTCTTTACTTTTTATTTATCATTTTGAATTTCAATTCCAATATGGATTGAGCTTCTGGTGGGCCCCTGTGTGTCTTACTTTATGGAATAGTGTGTGTCAGTTCAGGGGTTGCCAGAAGAATAACCCTTTTGAAGAAGTTATAATTTCTTTTTAATTTTTTTCTTAAATGTATTTATTTGTAGTTTCTAAACTTTTTACAAGCAAGAATTAGAGACATAAGGAGTACACATTCTAGTAACATTCAAACAACTACAATAATGCTTGTTGGAATTCCAAATGTTGGGAAATCGGCTTTTGCAAATTCCCTACACCAGATAGGAAGAATTAGTGCCACAGGTAATTTTAATTCTTTGTTACACACACAAAAGTGTGTTTTAAGGGGTAATCACAAAAATGAGTAGATTATGATGTGATATTTGACAAATTGACCACCTTTTTGACCAATAGCACAAAATAAAAGTTTTTGTTTTCGAAAAAAAAAAAAAATTTGGAAACTATATTGTGAAAAAATTATATTTTGCATGTTTAATGAATCAATGGGTTTCTTTACTATTAAGGTTCAAGGTCAGGGGTATTTTGGGAATTTTTTTGTCAAGAGTTCAAGTTAGAAGAACTCTGTATTAGGTGTATGTGCATTGTATGTTTAACGAATCAATGGATTCTTGACAAATAAAGTTTAAGGACAGGGGTATTTTGGGAATTTTTTAATTCAAGTTAGAAGAACTCTATAGTAGGTTTATGTGCATTGCATGTTTAATGAATCAATGGATTCTTTACTAATAAAGGTTAAGCAGGGGGGTATTTTGGGAATTTTTTTTTCATGAATTCAAGTTAGAAGAACTTTGTATTAGGTGTATGTGCATTTGCATGTTTAATGAATCAATGGATTCTTTACGAATAAAGTTTAAGTACAGGGGTATTTTGGGAATTTTTTTTTCATGAATTCAAGTTAGAAGAACTTTGTATTAGGTGTATGTGCATTTGCATGTTTAATGAATCAATGGATTCTTTACGAATAAAGTTTAAGTACAGGGGTATTTTGGGAATTTTTTTTCATGAATTCAAGATTGAAGAACTCTATATTAGGTGTATGTGCATTGCATGTTTAATGAATCAATGGGTTCTTTACTAATAAAGTTTAAGTACAGGGGTATTTTAGGAATTGTTTTCAAGAATCCAATTTAGAAGAACAACTCTGTATTAGTATTTGTTGTAATGGATCCTAGTTTCAAGGAATACTTTTTTTTTTCCTCCTGAAAGTAAATATATTTTTGGTTGCTTCTAATATTTTAATTATTTGTTTTTTAAGAAAAAGGGAAGTTAAAACATGCCACTGTGAGTCCACAATCAGGGGAAACAAAAAATATCACAAGTTTTAAGGTATAAGTTATATTTACATGTTCTCTCATTAAATTTTTGCATAATCAAATTGTAGATTCTTGAAGCTACAATGCCCTAATGACAAATAATTTTAACGTTTAATATCATAAAAGACCTTATATATTGTGGTTTTTCCTGATTAAACCTCAAGTTTATTTTTTTCCCCTAAAACAGACCTTGCATTTTTCGAATTTGGCCCTTTTAGCTTTTTTCGGGTTAATCTCAAAAAAGACCTTATATTTTGTGTTTTTTCCGGATTAAATCTCAACTTTCATTTTAATTTTCCTGAAAAGACCTTATATTTTTTCATTTTTCCAAAAAAAACACTAAACTTTGTCTTTTTGTTTCCCTAAAAAACCCTCAACCTTCAAACTGTTTCTGAAAAAAAACAATTTATATTTTACTTTTTTTCCTGAAAAAACCCTCACATTTACAAGTTTTTTGCTGGAAAAATGAATAAAAGGGCCAGATCTAAAAAAATGAAAAACGCAATGTCTTTTTCAGCAATAAAATAATGTTGAGGTTTAATCCAGAAAAAACACAAAGTATAAGGTCTTTTTTGAGTTTAACCCCTTTTTTTCTCAAGAAAACTCGTCAAATGTGAGGGTATTTTCGGAAAAAAATTAAAGGGTTGAGGTTTTTTTTCATAAAAATGAAAAAAATGGAAGGTCTTTTTAGGAAAAAAAAAAACAAAATAGAGGTTTAATCAGGAAAAAAAAACTCAATATGTAAGGTATTTTCTGTTATTAACCCTAATTTGAAAGTAGAATACTATCATAAAAAAATTTGGAAAGTGCATTGCTATTTCTTGCTTCATGTTTAATATTTACCTTTTTTTATTTAATAATAATTTAATTTCAGATTGCAAGCAATCCTAATATTTATATCTTTGACACCCCTGGAATTTTGCCTCCAGAGATTCTTGATGTTGAAATCTCTTCTAAATTGGCTTTAACCGGTAAACTTATGCAGTTGCTTTTTTTTTTTTTTTTTTTTTTTTTTTTTTTTTGTAATTTCTTTGTTATAGCATCCTACTTATATTCTTCATAAGAAGAATAATTTAGAGTAAGTTACACGAATGGTCCCTATGGTTTGGGGTAATTTACGTGCTTGGTCCCTAACTTATTTTTTTAACTCAGAAGGTCCCTACTTTTTTTTTTGTTATGTGCTTGGTCCTTATCTTACCTAAAAAGACTATTATTTTAAATATGGAAAAATGGTAGGGCAGGTAAGGTAAGGTGAGGGGAGTGGGGTTGAGGGTGTGTTTATTTAAATAAATTAAAAAATCAAGGACAAAATAGTCTTTTTAGGTAAGACAGGGACCAAGCGTGTAACAAAAACAAACAGTAGGGACCTTCCAAGTTAAAACAATTACTTAGGGACCAAACGCGCAAATTTTCCTAAACCATAGGGACCAATCGTGTAATGTACTCAATAATTTAGGTAGATTTTCCAAAGTACAATACTTCATTAGAATAAAAATTTGAAAGCACAACAATGTTGTAATAGAAAGAAATGAATTTAGGATTCTATAATACACAATATATATATATATATATATATATATATATATATATATATATATATATATGAAAGTACATTGCTATTTATGGATTGATCTTATAAATGCAGGAGCTATTGATGACTCTTTAGTTGACCAATCAGATCTTGCTCATTACTTCCTCTCAATATTAAACTTTAGTGATGAATATAAAAAGTGGGAGAATATTTCCACCATGGATAAAAAAGAGAATCAAATTATAAACGATCATACACAGGTATATTTATCTTTTAATTTTTATTTTTTATAGTAATTATCATCATATGCAAATCCTAGTATTATGTTATCAATCAGGATTGATTTTAATATAGGGTTAATCTCATAAAAGACCTTATATTTTGTGTTTATTTTTTTCGGGTTAAAATTAAACTTTATTTTTTTTTTCCAAAAAAACCCATCAACTTTTTTTTTTCCGAAAAAAACCCTCGACCTTCTATCTTGCTCATTGTGAAACTTTTTCAAGTAAACTACAGAAATGGTCCCTGTGGTTTGCCATTTTCCTGAAATCGGTTCCTTAAAAGATTTTTTCTTCCAAAAATACCCTTATTGCATGGTTTCATTGTGGTTTTGGTCCGTCCAAAGTAAAATGACTAATTTGCCTCTTACATACTTTTTTTATAGTTTTCCTTCATATAATTAAATATGAAAGAAAATTGTAAAAATGTTATATAAAGGGAACGGGACCAAAATCACAATAAACAAGTGAGATGCTATAATAAAAAAAATATATAAATTTTAAAAATTTAATATTTTGGTTTAGGATTGTGTGGTGCAATGTGTTCGTGGAGCTCTATTTCAAGAGATTGCATCTTTCAAAGGTAAAATGAAAGATGAGAAGGATATGGTACAACTCATTGAAGCACAATTTACAACACTTAGAAAAGCTTTCAATGTGAGTTTAGATTCGTTTGAAGATGCTAATAGCATAGTTGCTACTAAGCTTATTAATTTGTATCGAACTGGGAGACTTGGTCATTATACTTTAGATACACTTCCAAGGACTTGTGAATAGTAATTTATATAGAAGATTTGATTAGACTTCATAATTAGTTCATGGGTGATAATCTTTCATTTGGAATTTTATTTATTTTTGTTTGTATAATCATTTTTGTCATGGCACATGTTGAAATAGATTATAAGAACATTTAAATGTTGCAATCACCTAGGAAAGACAAACATGGCGATCAAGATAAATTGTGTATACTATATATATATAATGAATAAGACTTTGCTATTTCAATGTATTTAAAGCATAAAATGAATAAGACTTTGCTATTTATTTTAATTTTCACGTGTTTGCATAATCATTGATGTTTATCTGAGCATAAAGTGAATCAGACTTCGCTATTTGTTGATTGTTATTTTTTTTAAACTAATCTTTTTATAACTTAGGGCCCCTAATTAACTGCTACCTAGATCGATTAATTATTTAACCTCAGTTAATTATAATGGTATTGATGGGTTTTACAGAAAACAAAACATGTATAATGCAGAAAACAATTAATAATTAATAGGGTACATGTATCCTATAAAGGGTCCACGTCTTACATCTTGAAGGCAACATACAATGAACAACTAAGTCTAGAGTAACCCTAGTAAATTTCGAAAACTATAATTTAAGGTTGCATACCTTTTCATTTTCTATTGCAAGCAAATTACACAAATATTTGTAGTTGTTGAACTTGGAAAGCCTAGAACCAAAGAGATGATACCTCTAGTGGTTTGTACCCAAACCATAACAACAAGAACACACGAGGAGAGAGGAGAAGGGAGTAGAAATTCAGCTCTTCTGATCTTTGGTAGGAGTGCACGAAAATTGTGAACCCAAGGGGTTTGTACCTTGAAAACCCTAAACTGGAATAAAATTTTAATATACTTAATCCATGTAGATACTCAATTTTCTTATATCGGGGAGGCTTCCAGAATGCCCCATAAGGGCACTCCAAAATTGTCCACAAGGGAAGGTTTTGGAACCCTTCCCTTGTTCAACTTTTGAACGTTGTCAACTACAGTCGCTGCACCTTAATTAATTCTAATTAATCCTAATTAAATCTAATTAATTTTTCATTAATTCTAAATTAATAAATACAAATTCCAATTAATATATTAATCATATAATATATTAATAAATCATTTATTTCAATTTCCAATTAATTTATTGTTCACATAATAAACTAACAAATTAATCTCCCTCTCTCTCTCTCTCTCTATATATATATATATATATATATATATATATATATATATATATATATATATATATATATATATATAAATGCAATTGTTCTCAATTTCTAATTCTGAGGGCAACACAAAAAGAACTTTGCTTCTAGTTCATGAATATACCAAAGTCAATAAATTGTAATTATTATAAAATATCAAATAAAGATATATTACTCTGAAGCCAAAATAATCATCTTAGACATGTGGGAAACATCAATACGATTTCTTTAGATATATAATGAGTAAACCCGACTTCATATGAAGAAGTTATATTTCTTCAACGTTTCAAAATTAAACCGGCACGACTCTATATATCGTAAAAAGTAAATTTTTGATAAATTACTTTTTAGCCTAACCGATCAAAACCAAAGTAGTAGAAGTCGTTAAACCTAGAGCGTACATATAGAGAACATCTAAATCTGACTTCATTAGAGAAAATTATGATTTTTCTAAGATTCACCATAGCAGTATACAACTCAGAAATCGAATTTGAGATCAGTCGATTTTTAGCCAAAAAAATCTAAACGAGAATTGAAGATCATGTTAATAGGAACCCAACAATATAAGGATGGTAGAAAACGGACTCCAGATAAGAAAGTTATGTATTTTATACGGGCTTTAACAGTCTAAGCATGTTTGAAAAGAATAAGTTCAAAACTAGTTGATAAAAGTCTAAATGAAAGTTGTAGATCTCGTCAAGATCTTTCTGTGGATATAAAGAATGTCAAAAACGGAGCTTGTACGAAAAGTTAAAATATGAAAAACGTCACTCGCGCACGCACATCGCGTACAACTTGCGCCCGAAGTCGGTCATGCAACGCCAACCAATAAAGGACATGTGTCAACAAACCAGAGGAGCCACGTCACCCCTAGTGCACTGCGCGTAAGCTTTTTCTTGCTTATATAAGGCCTGCTCCGCATATGCTCCGACCCCTACAACCTCTATATCGAAGTTCTCTCTGCACTTTTAGCCCATTTTCCTTAGATTTCTGTATTGTAGCAAATTCTTGAGACATCCCTAGGTACTCATCTGAGTAGTAGTCTTCGAGTAGGAGATCCCGAGTCAGTATTATGCTCTCTTAGATCCCGGTTCTCATCAATAATACTTGGTAAGTGAGCTATACTTACTCTGCATCCGTGTAATTTATAATTATAGTTATAAGTCGTTACTAGGAACCTATAATTAATATTTATTAGTAATGTCAAGTCGATATACTGAATGATCTACTTACGTTAGAGGTGACTAGAATGGTCATGTTGGCTTGGTTGTTGGATTTTAGAAAGACTATACGTCGAAATGGTCCTGCCTCCCAACCGTCTTGCCTGGCTGATCCTGTGACATCCCCATTTTCACGGCCAGAAAAGACCGATTTTGTTTATGCTTTATAAAAATCAGAGTACTTCTTTTAATAAAAATGTTGCGGAATTTGTTCCCAGAAAAACATGATAAATACGTTATCAAAGCATTTCCGAAGAAATGTATTTTTATTCATTTTAAAACATTTGGGATGTCATTGTTAATACAGAAACATAAGCATAAACATAACTTACATTCATTGACACTAGTGATCTACACCTCTTTAATCTGTCAGTGTAATGTAACTTCGTATCGACACCTGTGATTCAAATAAGCTTGAGTGGGTCAGGTTGGGAAACCTGGTGAGTACATAGGGTTTCAATCCCACAATGTCATATCATATATACAATTTAGAACTCAAAAAAATATACAATTTTACCATATATATAATAGCAACTCTTACCCCACCCCGTTAATCCTCACAACGAGACTATCCATACTCCCGGACCTTAAATTTTACCTCTTACTTAATCCATACTCTCGGATCTAATCCATGCTCTCGGATCAATAATTGTGCCCATTCCATACTCTCGGATTAGGGACAAGTGTCTATGTGTAAATCCATTCTCCCGGATTAACGGCGAAGGACTATGTCCTATCCATACTCCCGGACTGAGGACGACTGACTAGGTCTTAATCCATACTCCCGGACTAAGGACGATTGACTATGTCCAATCCATACTCTCGGACTAGGGACAATGACTATGTCTAATCCATACTCCCGGATCAATGACATATACTAAAGTTCTATTCTCTGAGTATAACTCACTCGTACTCGTAAGAAAATACTACCCAATATTCCTCATAATTAATTTAGGTTTACTCTTTATCCTAAATCATCATATATAATCAGGTACGTTCTTTAACACGTATTTCACGCAACATCAATTAACTCGCACATAAACATATAATTAATAATTCAATCAATACTTGTATTAAAATCATGTTCATGAAAGAGACTATGCACTCACTTGATTAGGTGGTGACTCGGTACTCGGACAACACTTCGTTATCTCAAAACAATTTTCCCTTGACAAAACCTAGTATCAATACCACTAGGGTTTAGTCTAACGTTAACCGCGACTAATTAATAGTCTAGCTATTATTATTATTATTATATAAGCGTTTAAACAACACTCTATATAACTCATAATAACAGCCCAAATAATTATTTTAAGGTCCTAATAATGTTACTATATTAAAACATAAGCTATACTAAAGATAGGGTAGGCATAACTCACTTACAGCGGGTTTTTCGCAAAACCGGGCTCCGCTGGAGCAGCGTTCCCGAGCCGAAAGGCTCTTCTTCTCGGAGTCGTCGGGCGCTCCGGGGCTTCCGCCTCGTGCTAGGGAGGTTCCCTAGGCTTTTCGGGGGGTTTCGGGGGCTAGAGAGAGAGGAAGAAGTAGGAAGGTGTGAGAATGAATGGAGGCCTCACCACTTATTTATAGGGGCTGGAGGAAGGTTCACGTCGTGAATCTCTTGATGTTCACGTCGTGAGTGAGCTTGGGCTCCAAGTCACAGCCTGGTGCTGACACGTGGCATCGCACATAGGGTGGAAATCAGCTGATTTTAAAAAATTCATAACTTTCGCATACGAGCTTCGTTTTCGACGTTCTTTATATCCACGCGTAGGTAAAAACAAGATCTACAACTTTCATTTAGACTCCGTCGGCTAATTCTCGACCGATTATAAATTTAACAGTAGGAAGAAATTAGATTGTTAAAATGACCGCGAAGAATTCGTAACTCCTTCATACGGACTCCGTTTTCGTCTGTCTTTCTATCGTTGAGTTCCTATCAATGAGATCTTCAACTTTCATTTAGGTCGCGTCGGCCAAAAACCGCTCGAACTAAAATTCGAGTTTCGGGTCGTGCATTGCTATGCCAAATCTTAGAAAAATCATAACTTCCTCATACGAAGTCAGATTTGGGCGTTCTTTTTTGTATGTTCTCGGTTTAACGTATACTACAACTTTTGTTTAGATCACTAAGGCTAAAAAGTCCTCTATCTTAAATTCACTATTTACGTCTCCCGGTGCCGTGCCGGTTTTGCCAAAAAACTTCGACGGGCCATAACTTCTTCGTTATAACTCGGATTTCGGCGTTCTTTATATGTACGGAACCCTTGAGACATATTCTACAACTTGGTTAAGATTATTTATTCTAAATAATCTTTTGTCGAAAAGTCGTTTTCGACCCCTATTATCTCTAAATTGACTAGCCCGGATCTACGGGCGTTACAAATCCTTATTTGATAGAACTATCGATATTCATTGGTATTAGTGATAGGTCTTGCCTACATTACCCGATTACCATATGAACTAATAAACTATAGTAATATAGGTTAATCCTAATTCGAGTGTTGTTCGTTAGCTGAATTATCCGGTTAGCGGTTAATCCTCTGCTAATTTGTCAAGGTGAGTTATTGTCACTATATTTTATACTCCTGTATCTATCCTCTGTGTGTTAGGATATAGTT